GGTTGAGTTTCCCCCTCAATTTTTGTTCTCACTACAAGTTACGTGAGCTTGCTACAAAAAATTTCTTTCTAGTTTTACAAATATGTATGGGTCCAGTTTGCAAAGCAACCAATTAAATTAGGAAGCCAAAAAAAATATCAGAATTACTTTTTATTCATGTGACATCTTTGTTTTGACTCAGTAGTGTTATTTTCCATTGTTGTTGGTTAAGGGAATATAAAATTATGATGTCCTAAACAAAACTTGTTTTTGTTAATAAGTTTTTTTTGTCACGTGTGGATATCATATAATAGCATCAAACAACAGCATGCATCTGCTTGTGAGGTTTGACTTGTGGCACTTGCCGTTTATCATCCACAAGTAAAGTTTTAATTTTAATGATCAATATTATTTTATGCATTTCCTGCACAAAGGAAAAGGTTTTGTCAGTGTCAATGTTCAAAAAGTTTATATGGCTGAGCTTTCCATTTACATTATTTCTGTTGTTTTTGTTTTTTAATAATTAAATAGTTTTTTTTTGTTATTATTATTTTTCTGTGATCATAGTTTTTTGTGCCTGCATGCTCCCCTATCCATATGCAATATGTGTACTTTCATGAACAGAATTGACTATTATTTTCTGAATAAAGGCTGATAGTTTCGAAAGAAACTGTTTGGGGCTGCGTCGGTGGGAGTAACGAAATAATTTGGATATATCAACAAAGTTGAAATGGTAAATTGGCCACCGTAACGATTACAAAAGCTGACGTTTCGAGCGTTAGCCCTTCGTCGGAGCGAATAGAGGAATTGTGGGTTGTGTGTGCTTTTAAAGGCAGAAAATGGAGCTACGTTATTGGTGGGAACATGGCAACGAGAAAAACACGAATAAATTAGTGGAATGAAAAGCGTTCGTTGATCCCTGTGGGATTTAAACTTCCGGTTTGAAAGATGATCCCACAGGTATCAACGAACGCTTTTCATTCCACTAATTTATTCGTGTTTTTCTCGTTGCCATGTTCCCACCAATAACGTAGCTCCATTTTCTGCCTTTAAAAGCACACACAACCTACAATTCCTTTATTCGCTCCGACGAAGGGCTAACGTTCGAAACGTCAGCTTTTGTAATCGTTACGGTGGCCAATTTACCATTTCAACTTTGTTGATATATCGAAATAAAGCTTTTTATTAGAGACAGATAAGCTCTGCCACTTTCCTAGGACTTCAGAAAAACATTTTAAGGAAGAAACGAATGTATCTCTTCCGGAAAAGTCCTTGTGGTATATTTGTGCTTAGAATGTGTCAAGATGATTCGCCCAAGATTAGAACATTACCTCTTCGCTTTTATCGGAAAGAAGTTGAATAACCAATTATATTTTCCAGGTCTTAACCTTTTGGACGTGGCTGATGCTCTTAAATGGGTTTTCCTTGTCTTGCCGAACTACTGCCTCGGCCAAGGAATTTCAGATATTTTCAACAACTATAATGCACTGTATTACGTTGACCAGTTTTGCCGTTCCTACGCAAAGTTTTTGCCCTTGGCAAAGTGTGAAAAAATGGCCAAAGAATTGATAGGCTCAGAGTTGCAGTTTCAAACCAATTATTTGGCCTGGGATAATCCAGGCATAGGCCGATACCTGCTTTTCTTGGCTTTGGAAGGAATTGTTTTCTACTCGCTCGTGCTGTTGATCGAGTATGGCGCGCTTGGGGCCTGTGCGCGATTTTTTAGGCGCATACGCAACCCCTTCGCATTTGTGAATGTATCTGAGGACTCCCACTTGGCTGATGATGACGACGTTCTGGAGGAGAAGGAAAGAGTATTGAGGTGTACAGACAAAGATGATGTTCTCGTAATCAAGGAACTTACCAAGGTTTTCTGTGGAAACGGTCGTAAGTTCTATTTCAATCTTTTTGTTTCCGAGATTATTAAGAATATTAACTTATATTTCGCTAATATCGATATACATCATTTTACAATACGTGATATTAAGCTCAGTTTCAATCAAATTTCATTTATTATCCTGAACTGATGTGGTTTTTCTTTCCTTGTTTTTGACTGGTTTAAAACAAGTTCGCGACATCATTTCAACTAATCAGTTGCGCAAATAAATTCAACTGTGACTTGCTCTCTTGCGCCTGTTTTCTCGCACTTGATTCCGGCCGGTTATTTGTATTGCCCTCTGGAATTTCATGAGGCTATCAAGTTTTAGGGAACTTTTCAAGTAAGATCACATTTTTCCAGACTTGTTTAGCATTTTTGAACTTTGATGTTGAAATTTACTAAATATCAGATGCCAGTAGAGGACTTCAATGACAATATTGTTACGAGTCTAAGCTAGGTTATCGATTTAGGAGACTGGATATGTCTAACCTGTGAATAAACGTAAGCATGCGGTTGGGCTTAGATCTATGTGTGTTGGGTTGGGAGATTAGCGCGAGCTCTTTGTATCAATCACATGACGTGGTTTCGACACTAAATTAAAAAATTGCTGTCGGTCCCATTACAAATTTTGTGGAGATACTGATTCGATTATGATACTCTTTATGTTCAAGGTCGTTCTCCATTGGTTGCTGTGGACAGTTTGAGTCTCGGTGTCCCTATGAATGAGTGTTTTGGTCTCTTGGGAATTAACGGAGCTGGGAAGACCACAACCTTCCGCATGTTGACTGGTGACGAGACAATGACATCTGGGACAGCTCTGGTGGAAGGGTTTGACATCAGGACCAACATGAACAAGGTAAGTTGTGTTGAATGGCTTGCTGAGTTTAAGTGGAGAATTTATGTTCAGATCTTTTTTGGGAGTCAACCAGTTGAAATAAGCGAATAAAGGCCGCAGCCCTCTGTGAAGAGATTATGGCCGCTTCATTTCATCTTACAGATCAGGATTCCTTCACGGAAAACTTTTACCTACATTCACTTTGTTTTGTTTTGTTTTGAAACATCGGATGTACTTTTTTTCAAGTCATTAAGACTTGTACAGAATTGTGGGAGATGCGGCAACCTAGCATGGCTAGCGCATCAGATTTAGGATCGAAAGGTTGGGCTTTGAGGTTTGGCTTGGTCATTGTGTTGTCATCTTGGGTAAAAAATACTTAACTCTCACAGTGCCTTATCGGCGATGAAGTAACATCTCATCCAAAGGGGAGTAGTGATCACTCGGTAGAAACCGACATAAGCTCCTACTGAATAAGCCGCTTGTGTTCACAATTGACTCTTTATCCTTCCATCAATGACGACATGCCCTTTGCGTCCTCAGGTTCGACAACGCATTGGCTATTGTCCCCAGTTTGACGCATTAATCGATCAGATGACCGGAAGAGAAATTTTGTACATGTACGCACGACTGCGAGGCGTACCGGAAGTCATGATACCGGATGTGGTGGATAATCTCATTCAATCGTTGCTGCTTGGAGATCACGCTGATAAATTAGCCGGTTCTTACAGGTAAGTTGTTTCTCCCAAGTGATATTATGGTATAGTGCATGATGTAAACCCATATTCTCAGAGGTGAAGGCTGCCTGGAAAAGTCGGCAACAATTGCCTCGTGCTTGTGCGGAGACACTGCACGAAAAACATACCCTATACCGTTGTGTCATTAGTGCGAGTAACAAACTCTTATAACGTGATTTAATTGGTCCAAATAACATATCCGAATGCCATGATTTGAGTGCTGTCCCCCGGTTAGCTCAATTGGTTAGAGCGCTGGATTGTGTTGTGCGGGAGGTCTGGGGTCCGAGCCCCGGCCGGACCAATACTTATGGTATTAAAATAACTGAGGAGAATTTGGTACCTTTCCATAATATCAAGAAATGGATAGGTATTCTAGTATTTTCGGATAAGGACGAATAAACCTTAGGCCCCGTCTCCTGCAGGGTTTGGGGTGGGAGACGTTAATTTCCCACGCGCGAGATTACAGTGTGGTGGATGCCCTCCCCTGGGGTAGGATGGGGGGATTGTTGTCTTACGTTTCATACATGAGCCTCTGGCTCGGGCAATCTGGGTAACCATGCCTCACATAAAGACAATAAACTTGATTGATTGATTGATTGACGAACCCTTATGCTGCCATTTGATTAATGCGAGCAACATACCCGAAGACCGTAATTCCAATGGTGCGAAATACATACCCTGATGCCCTGATTTGGTGGGTGCGGGAACATTACGCTAGTTCCCTTATGCGCATATCTTTCTCTTTCTAGTGGTGGAAACAAACGTAAGCTGAGTACAGCCATATCACTGGTAGGGGACCCTCCAGTGGTATTTCTGGATGAGCCCACGACTGGAATGGACCCAGTAGCAAGGAGACTATTATGGGATGCACTGTCACGTGTACGGGCTGATGGAAGATGTATCGTGATCACGTCACACAGGTGGGTCTTTTCATGAAACATCTTTACCTCTGAGAAGTCTTTTCATGAGCTGGTGATACGAAAGTGATCTTTTATTCTCGTCTACCTGTTTGTAAGTTTTACTTCACTACTGTGTCTCAGCTTTGAGCTGTGATGAAAGAAGTTTTTATTCAACAAATTGTAACTCTGGCCTATACGGTGCGGGGGATTTTGAATCAGTCATGGGGAAGAACAACCAAATCAATTGGATATAAATCCGACTCTTGTTTTTGAATAAAAAGTGTCCTATATCCCTATCTCCCTCTTACGGCCACTTGAACCTCGTTCCCAAGTCTCTCTTCTTCCTTTCCCCCTGGACCCTGAAAACGAGACTGCGGTTACCGCTCTAAAACCGCTGCTCTCCTTGGAGCGGGCGTAAGGACTGTAACATAAAAACTTTTTCTCGCTTTCAGCATGGAGGAATGCGAGGCTCTTTGCACCCGACTCGCCATCATGGTTAACGGACGTTTCAAATGCCTGGGAAGTCCGCAACACCTTAAAACCAAGTTTGGAGAGGGTTACACTCTGCTGGCCAGAGTAGCCAGTGGTACATCAGACACCGGACCGCTGAAACAATTTATTGAAGGCACATTTCCTGGCAGCGTGTTGAAGGACGAGCACCAGGGCATGATCCACTATCACATCCGTGACACCAATGTATCGTGGGCTCAGCTGTTCGGGACAATTGAGCGGATCAAATTGAACTATAATATTGAGGATTACTCTGTTAGTCAGACCACACTGGAACAAGTGTTTTTGAACTTTGCGCGAGGGCAGAGAGCAGAAGACGAGTAAATGTTTTCTTAATGGTAATAGATAGCAATTATCGACAGAAATTTTCAAATTAATATTTTTTTTTCTGATTTTAATTTTTTATTGTGAACATTCAGTTGTTTTATCTAATTTTTTACCATACGAGAGACTTGAAGATTTTATTACGGTTGTAGAGAATTTATAAGGAGATATTTTCACGGAGTAGTAGCCGCTATGGTAAACGATGGGGCGAGCTGCAACAATGCGCGAGACCAGAAAGAAATGCGCATGCGGGGCTTCTTGTCAAGGAGCGCCTGTAAGCTATTTATTTACTTGATACGAAAGCAAGGACTTTGCTTTAGAGCATGATGAGTCAATCCAGGTTTAGCGTTGTCGCGATAAGGGTAAACTTGTCTCTACAATATTTTTGGAAATAGCGATGACAACACTATCTCATAATTGGGTTGAAAATACGCCATGAGAAGTGCTTCAGGTCATTTTGACATCCGCGTGGTAAATGCAGCATAAGCTTTCGTCGGTCCATTACGAGTTTTGCTGGAATCGCGTAATAGCAACAACAAGTTAATGTAACTTACATTCAGATTACTTCGTGGTCAGTGGAAAAGTTAGCAACCCTTTTTTTTGGTAGCTTCAAGAAAAATGGCGTTACCAACTCTGCTGCTCACAAAGTATAAAACGAAAGTTTTCAGTTTGATTCAACTCAGCACTTTTCAAAAGTTACTCGTGTCAAATCCGTTTAAAACATCTCAATCTTTTTTCCATCCTTTTATTTTTCTTGGTTTGTTCTTATCTATTTGAGGTTGTTCTTCTTAGTTACTGAACTGCAGTTTTTAAGTTGGCGGTGATTTTTCCAATTCGTCCCCAGCCTTCTCTATGTTTTAGGTTCGACTAGCTCTACCAAAGCTTCACCCGCGCGTCCCACTCGGGTGCACTGGGCTTCCCTTATTTGACATTTAAAGCTAGAGAGACGACTGGGAATGAGTCGAACCGATTTCGAATTTCTGATACTACGAGTCAACAAACCACAGCAGTCATGGAAACTCGATGGGGATTTCCATTCCCTCGATGTTTCTTCCATGAAGGATTTAAGAACAGTTAGATTTAAGTAGTTATAGGTGAAGAGTAAAATAAAACAAATTTAGAAGTTTTCATTATGAAGTTTAAATGTATAGGGTTCCGACAATCTGGAGAAGTTTTAAAAAGTCGTGGTGCATGCACACGATAAAGAATAATTGGTACATACATATACAAAGTTTATTCACTGAAATCAAGTGTGATGAATTATAGGGTTTGTTTTCAATTTTGTTAAACGTCTTTTTGTATTAAAAGAATTGTTCCCAATTTTTTGCTAATTTTTTGTTTATTACAATGAATCTTAAGCCAATGGTATCGGTGTGTGTCGGCATCAAACCAACGGTCAAAAAGCGAGGGATGTATCTGGTACTGCTCACAGATCCAAGATAAAAAAAAGTTTAACCAAACAAAACACGAAAAAAAACAAAAAGGCATTGCAAGTACTGCAAAAAAAAAAACAACAACAACAACAAAAACAAATAAAAACGGAACGAAAGAGTCACAGCAAAAGTTTCGTACCTTGATTGAATATTTTAGAGCCAACGAGTTGTTTTTTTAAGGAAAATTCAAAGATAAGAGAAGTTTAGCGGCGAAATTCATGTACTTGACATGGGAACTTGTATTTGAAGGGGGCGAATTTGAAGGAGGTGGACCTTGCAATGGGGCCAAATCTACATAAACCGATAAGATCGACCAGTATAGGAAACTTTTGAACATCACAAGTGATTTGACTATTTTCTTCATTGGTATCAAATTTGGTGCTATTCCAAATTTCTCCGGGCTGCCTCACTCCCTTCACTCTAACAACAGATGTGGCATTTTGTCGTCATTGCGAGAGAGGTCTGGGGTGAATTTGAATTAGCAACCCAGCCAAACATGGCGGACGAGCTCGTGGAATAGTAAGGCATGATTTTTGGACAGTAATGCTTCACCATGAATCCTTTGGGAATGAACATTCTTCGGTCGGTAGAGGCGTTTGTAAAAATGAATCGGTTAGCTTCCGGCTGTGCGACTTATTCCGCAGTTTGTCGCCGGTGTAAAGTTAGATGTCCCTCCCCACGTGCGCTCTTAATATCGATCCGTGGCAGTGCCTCTACGACTTCTATTACAAATGCAGCAGAAAAGGAGGAAAAGACTGATCCGCAGTCGATTCTTAAAACTAAGACGATAGGTACTGTAGAAGTGGATTTACCCGACACCAAAAAGCAGGTTAGTTACATAAATTCGAGCCTCAATGCTTTGTCCACTTATACAGAAGTTCGTGCGCACCACTTCAGTCTTCAGGTACACACCCCGCCACTCCCGTGCCCTTTCCATTAGAATTCCCCAATGCTAGATTGTACTGTCGGAGTTCAAAGCCATAAATCCTGTATATCCCTCTAAAAAAATTAACTCTACCTTCCTACCACAAGTTCTGTGAGATCGATGGATGCTTTATTGAGGTTGTTGCTCGATTTGTGTCAGATAGTGTCAAGTCTTCTATCTATTGAATGAGCAGCATCAGTTATTTTGGCCAAGATGGTGGACTTTTCATTTTATCAGTCTTAGTCTAGAGGTCAAAGTCAAAATCCATGAAATGGGGACTGTCAAAATAATTAGTGAAGCTAGTTCCCCCACCTCACCCCACCCCCCTTCTATGGTTAATTTCATTGTCATGGGAATATCAACTTACAGGGGGTGGTGATTGTCAAAAGGATATTCCAAAGACCAGCACTCCAAGTTGCAATCATTTTGGTTACCATGGCATGAAGAAATAAACACTTTAAACAACAACAAACATATGAAACATATGTATGAACTGCGGTTATGAAACGTATATGTGCACGATCCTTCGCAGTAAAGTACTATTTGAGCAATAGTGAAAATCAGACCTGAAAAAAATTTCAGGCCTGTACGGGATTCACCCAAATTTGCAGTGACTTTGTCAGCCTGTGTTGGAGAGTCTGTAGAGAGCTGCAACATTTTTTCACTTGTAATAGTCTAACAATGCAGTGAAATGAGCATTTTCCTGAAATTTTTATGTAATATTCTACAAAGAATTTCCTCCACTTTTTTCTGGTGATAAAGCTTTGACTTAATTCAAGTCACCAAGGGGCAATGCAACCTTTTAACCCCCTGAATGACCAAGACAATATTCATACAAGCAGACAGGTGACGAGAGTTAAAAAAAAAATCAACTTGGATATTACTGGTTGACCGAGTACCAAATTCTCCAAACTAATATTATGAGAATTAATAAAATAATAATAATAATTTAATGTTTATTTTGTGCAAATTAACATGTAGATATGATCAAATGTCCATCACAATACTGTTCGGGGGACTTTGGCCAGACTACATCAGCAGTTTACAAACAATTGCAGGAAACTTATTTGAAGATGTCCCCTCACCCCAATTCCCAGTAAACAGGCCAGACCGCATCACAGTAATCTCGTGAGTGGGTTCTTTAACATCCCCTGCCTAACCAAATTAACTAATTAATAAATGCAGGAGACGGGACCTACGGTTTATTCGTCCTTATCCGAGAAGACTAGAATGTCTATCCATTTCTTGATATTATAGAAAGGTAGTGCATTCTCCTGAGTTATTTTAAGACCTTGAGTGCTGGTCCGGCCGGGGCTCGAACCATTGACCTAGACCTCCAACACAACAGTCTGGGAATTGAATGAGAGATAGTTGGGAGAATTGCTTATGAAATCTTGGGAGTGAAAGGGTTAAAAAGACTTGAGCTTGGAGCCTGAATGACAGTTGATGATCGTTTAATTGATGATCGTTTAATTTCATACTCTCGCAGCTAGGGCTGAATTGCAGTATGGATCAGTATTGCATACATTAGGTACAACATTAAATATACATCTTATTGACATCGAACAGTAACAAAATTATTAAGTCTGTCTGTGGCCCCTCTAAACCAATCTACTTGAACATTGCCGGCTCGCAAAGAATAGCCATGAAGGACCTCTGTGGTGCGAGGAAGGATGTAACTTATAGGGCTGGTGCAGTCCTCCTCGCCCCAGCCATGAACCTGGAACACAGTTCCGTTATAAAAAAGCTATCTGAACATGAAAGTGCTTTTGATTAGCCGAGTAGGAATATTTGTAAGATTTCCCCACAAAGGGTCCTTAACTTAATGGTATTTTATGAATGCTAGTTTGTTTTTTTTTTTTCTATAAATGATCTCCTTTCTTGACAAAGCGGGGAATCAGAAGCATCCCTAGCACTGCCTTGTTGTCACATGTAACTATGAGGCATGACTTATGGACTCTTGCAATTTATCATTGTGTTTTAACTTGTGTTTTCTTTGCAGGAAATTTTGAATCAGTTAAATAGTAGAAGTCTAGAAGAGCTCTCAAACACCAAAGGAATAGGAAAAGTTAAAGCAGTTTCCATTATTGAGTATCGCAACAACTTTGGACCATTTCAAAGTGTGGAGGATCTTTTTCAAATGAAAGGTTTTGGTGCAGCATTCTTTAAAAATCTTGAAGATGCTGGTAGCTTAGCAGCTGTTAAGAGAAAGACATCAAAAGGACTGGAGACCATTTGGGAGCAGTTAGCACAGAATAAAAAAGATGTAAGTGTTTTTAGAACCCAGATGGTGCAGAATGAAGGCCAAATCCCAGGACTGTCCATACATTAAACAAATATAAGTCTCTTGTATTTATTGAATGTTATGGACCACAAAAAGCTGAAAATACTGGTGAAAATGCCAAGAATGCTAAATGTATGTCTACTATTTTGTGGGTCAGCATTCACAAAGGGATCTCAGCATTTTTATTGCATCTAGTTGATTAAGACTATTCAGAAGTGAAGCTATTTATTTTTAGGAACTTTCCAAAGTATTTTTTTCTTGTGTACTTTGCTTTGGATTATGTTGTTTCAGTTATTCATTTTCTGAAGAAGCTAGGCTTGATTTATCTGGTTAATTGATGTCTTTGCTTTTTGTTACATTTTCAGGTGATTTCAGAAATTGTGTCTATAGATATTGGTTTCCAGAATGCTGCTTGGGTCCATATGGACAAAGACAAGAAGGTCTTGGGTTGGTCACGAGCTGAAATTATAAAACCTAAACCTTACAATCCAGCTGTCTTCCAACCTTTGGTAAGCTTTTAAGCTACATTATTGGTGAGAACATGGCAACGAGAAAAACAAGAATAAAATAAAAATATTTATTCTTGTTTTTCTCGTTGCCATGTTCCCACCAATAACGTAGCTCCATTTTCTGCCTTTAAAAGCACACACAACCCACAATTCCTCTATTCGCTCCGACGAAGGGCTAACGCTCGAAACGTCAGCTTTTGTAATCGTTACGGTGGCCAATTTACCATTTCAACTTTGTTGATATATCCAAATTATTTCGTTACTCCCACCGACGCAGCCCCAAACAGTTTCTTTCGAAACTATCAGCCTTTATTCANAGAATTAACTCTGAAACGTAAATTAAAGTGCTAGGTGAAACCCTTGAAAAACCCACTGAGCGTTAGCCCTAGTAAAGGGTATTAAGGAACCACACGAGATAAAGAAAAAATTCTTTGTTTCCTCAGTGAGAATCGAACCCATGACCTCCGGATTAGATCTACCGTTGCTCTGACTTTGTCTGTCCAACCTCGTAGCTGAGTCAGTAGAGCAACGGTAGATCTAATCCGGAGGTCTCAGAACTCGGTGATTAACTGAGTAAGTGCATTTTCTTTCTTTCTTTCTCTTTTTTTCTTCAGAAACAAAAAAAGGGCTGCAATTATTTGACTATGATAAACAAGTTTTTGTGACGTCATTACTCGGTAAGCAGCAAATGGCAGTCTGCAGCCTTTCCCTACATTTAGGCAGTTTGAAAAGTCTCAAAACTCCGGAACAAAAATTTATCTTTCAAATCGGCACTCTTTATCCCCGTGGTATCAATAAGCGCTTTCCATTCAACTCGTTTATTCTGCTGTGTTTTTACGTTGCCATGTTCGCATCAAAAGCGTAGCTCCATCTTCTGCCACAGAACCCACAGTTCCGCCATTCGCTCCGAAGAAGGGCTAACGCTCGAAACGTCGGCTTTAGAATCTTTTTACGATGGCCAATTCACATTGTCATCTCATTGTGATAAAACCAATTCATGGTGTAGTACCTTCCAGTCCTTCCACCGAAGCAGAACGTTAGTTTCTGTTCAAACTTACCAGCTTTATTGTAAAATTGACCGATCAGAGCGAGTTTGTTTCTTAAATCACGCGACCAGTGATGTCCAGACCTACACATTCTGTGTCGCACCCTGACAAAAACAAAAACGTAAATTTTCGGCCATCGAAACATGCTTTACCTATAATCTACAAGGAAATTATATTTTGTCTCCACCGTCTGCAACAACTACTACTTATGGTCTTCACTCCTTTTCATATATGGCTTCAAAACTATGGAACTCTCTTCCGGACTCTTTTAGGACGTCTGACTTTTCTGATTTCATGCGCAAGATTCTACAGTATCATTTTTTCTCATAGTTAAATTTTAGAATGTTACAATTTTACATTTTACATTTTAGTAGTATTTAGAATTATACTTGTAACTCAAAGATACTAGCTTATTCCTTAGCTACTCCAAATTCGAGATTAAATAAAGTCTATGTATGTATGTATGTATGTACGTACGTACGTACGTACGTATGTATGTATGTATGTATGTATGTATGTATGTATGTATGTATGTATGTATGTATAGGTACTTTTCAATTTTTATCCATTGTTTCTGGGTGTGTGGAAGTACAGAGTGTTTTCAAAGGTTAAGGGATAAATTAGTTCTTCCTCTTTTCCATCTTCTGCATTCTTTGCCTGCTTTTAGATATAAGTTCCTCAGTTCCCACGCATGCTTAAAGATTTGGTCTTCCCGCTTTTTTCAACCTCGAGGGGTTTTCGACATCAGATCCGTTTTAAGTAAGCCGACATCCATTTTTTTAAACCATACCCCCCACCGTCCCTGCTAACCCACTCCCCCCTTATCTCAAAATTGAGGGGGTTGGGAGAATTTGTTCTTGCCCATGGGGCTTTTGAAAGAGAGCTTCTGGTGAAATGTATGGAAGTTGCAAACCTTTTTTGATATTTTTTCTTTTCATTGAATACAGGTTCAACAGTTTGTCAACAGAGTGCCCAAGACGGACATCTATGTGGTGGAGATGCAAAGTCATCGAATTGGGAAGCAAACGGCAGCCCTTCTTCCCTTCGCAGTGCACTTGCGCGTGTTTGAAGCTATGCTGACCTGTTTGTTGCCTGGATTAGTGATACCCTTTGATCCGTTATACACCTCTAAACATTTTTGTCTTCCTGTGGGAAGAACCAAGAAGAGGGCGGCCGTGAATTTGGTGGAGAGCTTGTTTCAGGACAGAAAAAACGAAGAACCCTTCGAGGCCCAATGTGAGCAGTTTCTAAAAGAACAGCAAGGGATGGAGGGCAGTGAAGATTTTGTGGAGTCATTCATCGATGGTCAGATGAGTGGATTTCCTGGAAATATTAGCAAACCTCTACTACAAGTATCGCCAAAATTTGTGAACTATTTCAAATCCTGTGACAAGAAGGACGATTTGAGCGACTGTCTGCTACAAGCATTGGCTTTTTATGATTTGGTGGTGAAAAACAGAAAACAGTCTCGAATGTGAAAGTGGCTAGATCTTCGCCGTGAAATTTTAAGTTTTTCCCCAGGTTATCTTAATACTTTTTTTACCCTCAGTAGCGACCTATGCGTACAAGCTCTGTAGTGATCAATTAATGGTCAACTACAGAATGTTCTCTTGATGTATTCCGAGCTCTTTTTTACTATCTTTAAAGTGCACCTAAACCCAAAATTTTTTTTCGCATAACGAAGTAAGCTTATGTTTTGGAGTATTTCTGTGCAAAAATTTTTTAATTTGCTCAAATCTTTAATTTTCTGTGCCCAGTCAAAATACGGAAAATCGGCCGCCATCTAGCCCCACGATGGAGTTTAAAGAGGAATGGCTCTAGCGGGTAATGTGACGTCAAATCGAGAACACGAAAGTCTGCATTTCACTTGTTTGGGAAGGTTGTCGTCGATATTGCCCGAAATATGTCGACTAGGTGTGTTGTATGAGGAATATATGAAGCGCGATACCCTCTTGCAAATTTCGCACGTTTTTACATCCTTCTATAATACTATTTTGACTGGGCACAGAAAATTAAAGATATGAGCAAATTAAAAAATTTTTGCACTGAAATACTCCAAAAAATACGCTTATTTCGTTAAGCGAAAAATAAAGTGGGGTTTAGGTGCACTTTAAGTGTATACAGAGCATGCGCAGTGGTTTATGAATATCTCCCCAACGCAACTGTAACTGTCTTGAAGGAAACAGATTACAGTTACTTTGACACTTTTGCTGGTCATTACGAATAGCTCATGATAAGAACAAACACAATTGTACTTAGAGTGAAAAAGAATTATCATTATTAGATAGCCTGCCATACAGGCGTCTTATTAGCCTCGTTGGGGCGAGTCAGTGTTACAAGCTCGCGATCGTCTGGGAAGGGGGCATTGAAAGACGAGATGATTTTTCTTGCCCCACCCACANTGAGCAAATTAAAAAATTTTTGCACTGAAATACTCCAAAAAATACGCTTATTTTGTTAAGCGAAAAATAAATTGGGGGTTTAGGTGCGCTTTAAGTGTATACAGAGCATGCGCAGGGGTTTATGAATATCTCCCCAACGCAACTGTAACTGTCTTGAAGGAAACAGATTACAGTTACTTTGAAACTTTTGCTGGTCATTACGAATAGCTCATGATAAGAACAAACACAATTGTACTTAGAGTGAAAAAGAATTATCATTATTAGATAGCCTCCCATACAGGCGTCTTATTAGCCTCGTTGGGGCGAGTCAGTGTTACAAGCTCGCGATCGTCTGGGAAGGGGGCATTGAAAGACGAGATGATTTTTCTTGCCCCACCCACAGAATTGCTTTTCGCTCGGGTAATGCGCACTGCATAGACTTTCGCACAGCTAAATTAAATTGAAGGTTTTTAAATATTCGACAGACAGGCTGGTGTATTACGTCTGACCTTAATTAATGATAGAACACAGAATTAACTCTGAAACGTAAATTAAAGTGCTAGGTGAAACCCTTGAAAAACCCACTGAGCGTTAGCCCTAATAAAGGGTATTAAGGAACCACACGAGATAAAGAAAAAATTCTTTGTTTCCTCAGTGAGAATCGAACCCAAGACCTCCGGATTAGATCTACCGTTGCTCTGACTTTCTCTGTCCAACCTCGTAGCTGAGTCAGTAGAGCAACGGTAGATCTAATCCGGAGGTCTCAGAACTCGGTGATTAACTGAGTAAGTGCATTTTCTTTCTTTCTTTCTCTTTTTTTCTTCAGAAACAAAAAAAGGGCTGCAATTATTTGACTATGATAAACAACTTTTTGTGACGTCATCACTCGGTAAGCAGCAAATGGCAGTCTGCAGCCTTTCCCTACATTTAGGCAGTTTGAAAAGTCTCAAAACTCCGGAAAAAAAATTTATCTTTCAAATCGGCACTCTTTATCCCCGTGGTATCAATAAGCGCTTTCCATTCAACTCGTTTATTCTGCTGTGTTTTTACGTTGCCATGTTCGCCTCAAAAGCGTAGCTCCATCTTCTGCTTTTAAGCCACAGAACCCAAAGTTCCGCCATTCGCTCCGAAGAAGGGCTAACGCTCGAAACGTCGGCTTTAGAATCTTTTTACGATGGCCAATTCACATTGTCATCTCATTGTGACAAAACCAAATCATGGTGTTGTACCTTCCAGTCCTTCCACCGAAGCAGAACGTTAGTTTCTGTTCAAACTTACCAGCTTTATTGTAAAATTGACCTATCAGAGCGAGTTTGTTTCTTAAATCACGCGACCAGTGATGTCCAGACCTACACATTCTGTGTCGCACCCTGACAAAAACAAAACGTAAATTTTCGGCCATCGAAACATGCTTTAATCCGGAAACTAAGGGGCACATGCATGCCATGACTTGTTTCGGCCAGAATACGCCGAATTGTAATTGGTACTATTAGTCACTACATGGCGAATCAGGTTAATTCGAACTCATTCGAATCGAGCAAAACAAGTAATTTGGCACAAAACCCAGGTGTTGTTTCAGTTGAGTTGTCATTATATCTCTGATGTGATACGTACTGCAACATGCAACACCTGCTGAACAGAGCAGGGAGACTGGACATGAGTGGAATTGTTATAAACATTCAAGATGGCCTCTCGATGGAGGACTTGGGACGCAGATTACTACATCGACGCACATACCTCTAAAATGCCCGAGGAAACAGAACCGATACCGGCGGTTGGACATGGAAGGGGAAAGCCTGCGAAAGATGTCGCTTCTCTTAATCTTCCTAAGGCCGCTTTGGGAATAACAAAGGACAAAAACACGGCCCAGGCGCCTGCAACTGGCAGGGGAAGAGCTTCTGTTATGAAAGCACGAGCACTAACTGATTTATCCCCTATTAGAAGACCAGGGGAAAAGAAAACAACAGCTGCTACCAGTGTTATTGAGGTGAATGATTGTCTCTTTTGGTGCGGTGTGAACTTATAACAGTTTAAGTTACTAATGTGGCGAATTAACTAAGAGAGCAGAAAATGGTTAAAACTTGGTAATTTAACAGCCTGGATGGAGAGAGGTAGGAAAAAAATAATACTCAATTAAGAAATGATCTGAAGTTCACTATAAAAGTCTTTGAAAGATAATTTTATATTTGATTCTAACCTTACCCACTTTTTCATTCATTCATTCATTCATTTTATTTTCCATCACTAGAAAAAAAATAGCCAAATACAAAATTTATTATACATCAAAGACAAAAGGAACTATTCTAACCAAATTAACTTCAAAATCAAGGGAGCTGAGGAGGTAACAGCAAGGAAGCCTATTAGAAGCCTGGGGCTTATAAAGTATTGGCTTCCTTAAGCTATAGGATAAACCATACAAATCAAAGGTGCTGAATGAAAATTTAGATTAAGTTAAAAAAACAAACAAAAGAAAAAAAGAAAAGGTGTGTAGCTTAACAAAGAATATATTTAACTAAGAAAGAAGAATTTTTTTAAGCCTTTTGCTAAACAAGTTGATGCTTACCCCTTAAAATCCCAGAAGTGATTAACATGTAATTTCTCAGTCCCCATTATATCCATACTTTATCCAGCAAACAGGTAATGACAATACACAAACTTATCAGGTTGAGGTTATTATCTTGATCTAACACCAAATTCTTGTGACTAGTTCACAAGGAAATGTGTAGCAGCTAGAGAGGAGAATTAGCACTCAGATCTTGGGAGTTTAGGGGTTGATTGACATGTTCACTTTGTATCATTTTAATTTTAGAACTATAACAATTTGATTTAACCTATTGACGTCCAGTACGCCCGTATGCGCCCATGGGGACCCACACCCTTTCTATGCCTTGTGACGTCATCACTTTTAACCCTGGAGCATGAATTTGAGCACGTACTTGAACAGGTTGAAAATATCTTACAAACGATACCAGAATGAGCGCAATTGAGTGAAGGAGATTGGAGAAATAGCCTAAAAACCATGTAACTTTGACCTGAAAATCTGTACAAAATTCTTGTTCCATTACCCACCAACCTTTCTGAGCATGTGGTTTGAAAATAATGAGTAGTTTCTGAAAAATCTCTACACCAAAATGAAGCCTACTAAATTTCCAGCAAGTGAGGAGAAACTTCAGGCAAGTAGAGGGGAAAAAAAGGG